AACGGCCAATGTGCCTGCTGGGCGTGTTAATAAAGTTTTATTTTTCCAAATTTAATTTTTTTTTTCAATTTTTTTTCTTCCCTCGAATTTTTTGTTTCCTTGTCACACCTGTAAAAACTTCTCAAAATTTGCAACTATTGGGGATGCTCTAATAGCGCAAATTATGCTGTGCAACCGAATGCACCTTGCAAGGTGCATACGGTTGCAAAACGGCGCCGTTTTGGTTAAAAAAAAACGCGCGTCCCACTTAAAGAAGAAATCAAGTTCGATTCCCGGCAATAGCATTTTTATATATCCAGAAATTCATAACTATATAACCACAATTTCATAACTATATATCCACAATTTCATAACTATATATCCACAGTGAATGAATGAAGTAAAAATCCACAATGAATGAATGAATGAAGTAAAAATCCACAATGAATGAATGAATGGAGTAAAAATCCACAATGAATGAACAAAATATCCACAATATATGATTGAACTAAATATCCACAATGAATGAACTAAATATCCATAAATTCATAACTATATAACCACAATTTCATAACTATATATCCACAATTTCATAACTATATATCCACAATAATGCTATTGCTGAGAGTCGAACCTGATTTTTTTTTTTAAAGTGGGACGCGCGTTTTTAATCAAAACGACGTCGTTTTGAACCGTATGCACCATGCGCATGGTACATTCGGTTGCACAGCATAACTATTGCTCTAATAGCTGTAAGATGTATGTTTGAATTTTTTTTAAAGGAGGTATATTTTGTTCAGGGCAAGAGTAGCGGCCCATATACCCAATCTGATCCCATATTTATATTATGGACCAGGGTTCAAATAACATTATGGACCCTACACAGCTACTAATGTATTCCAAGTACAGAATTTATATTCTTAAAGTTCATCATTTCATAACACGTACAAGATACAAAAACTCACAATACAAGATAAATACACATATCATATATTTATTTATTTTTCAAATCTGATTTAGATAGAGAATTTGTTCCATTAGCACAAAATTTCACAATACAAGACAAATTCATAACATTAACACACAAATACTAATTTATTCCAGGTAAATAATTGTTAAGTACATAATTTTATAACACAAGACACAAAAAACGCATAGCACAAAACACATACACATGCTTTATAATAATAAATTATATATTAAAAAACAGAAATGGGCAACTACTAAACGGCCGCCGTCAAGAGCAGGACCCACAGTGCAGTGTGAACATGGTCTATGATATAAGGATTGTATAATTACCTTACCTTGCATTAGTTATTCAACCTAATTAATATAACTTGGGTTCGATTCATCTCGTGCCAAGTCTTCCTAAGACTTGTAAATATGTCCTAGTCCAAATGGGATAACTTTACTGTCTTAAAATTTTATGTAAGAAGTGAGAACTAAGAAATAAAAACGCATTGAATGGGAACATGCATCATATATATTTAATTTAAACATTATTAATTATTTGATCCAAAGTGGGAACTCAGAAATATTGTATTCGTGGAATCATGGGTAAGATGGAATCATGGAATGCATTGAAACGTTATGTGACTAAACTAATTAATTATTAATTATTATAAATTAAAGATGTTAGGTTAGAATTTGGGAACATTATTTTATTTGTATATAAATACAATATGCATGCAGTAGCTCAGCAATCTATGTAATCGATTCCTTTTCCACCGCCGTGAAGCATGTAATCTGTATCTTAATGTGTGCCATAATAACCTATTGTTGGATTATTATTGACGCACCGGATAATCCGTTAAAGGAGGCCAATAATCCAATTGACAACAATATAATGATGGCAAATTATGTTGTGAGTAGGGACGGAGCCAGAAATTCGGTTGAGGGGGCGAAGAGGTAGAGACGTTTTTAGAAATTTAAGAATGTTATACATATATGTGTGTATATTAAATATAAAACTATGTCAATGCCAAAATTCAAACCCATATCCTTTATCATAAATTAACATGTGCTCAACAAACTCATCTAAATCAACTCTTATTGATATTCAATAGTTTTATTTTATTAATACTAACACAGGAACTATATATACATATATACATACAAAAATTATATATGGGGTGGGGGAGGGGGGCAGCTGCCCCCCTTTGGCTCCGTCCCTGGCTATGAGCATGCAAGGTGGGCACGGTTCCATATTCATAATTTCTATACTATAGATTCATAATTTCTATATTGTAGATTCATAATTTATATACTATAAATTCATAAAATTTATACTTTAGATTCCAATACTCTTACAGTTTAGAAATTATGAATTTACAGTACAAAAATGATGAATCTACAGTAAAGATATTATGAATCTGCAGTATAGAAATTATGAATCTACTGTATTTAAATTATGAATTTACAATTCAGAAATTATGAATCTAAAGTATAAATTTTTATGAATCTACAATATAGAAATTATGGATCTACAATATAGAAATTATGAATCTACAGTATAGAAATTATGACTATGAAATCGTGCCCACCTTACAACATAACGTTCCACAAATTTTTTTTTTTGGACCATGGTTCAAAATAATGACGTTTTGTCTTTAATAAAAATGTTACCGTCTATTCAATTGTTATTTTCATTCATCACTTCTTTTCTTATCATTCTCCGTTTGACTTCTCTCTACGATTCCTTTGTTCGTTCCTCTCATTAAATTCATAGCTTTTGATAGTTCAATTCGCAGCTTTTGATCGCCCAATTCAGTTAATCATGAATCACATTATTGATATGAACAACCAAATGCATGCCATTGAAGATGATGATGATATTCCTGGTTTTTACGTAGTTTAGATGTGATTCAGATTTTATTTTTAGTTTATTATGATATGGTCCCTTGACTATTGCGAAATTATCAATTTGGTCCTCGACAATTTTTCTTACTCAATTAAGTCTTCGACTTTGAAAATGTTAACCGTTTTGGTCCTCCGTTCAAATTTCATCCATAAGTTGTTAAATTTAAGGACAAAAATGTAATTTTATATATTTTACTATATACTATACGTTGTTGATTCTTATTTAATTATTGTTAATTCTGTATTACATGATCTTGTTGCAATAATTCTTATTTTATAATTGTCTTGTGTGTTTATCTTATGTTACAGTAAACTAACTATTGCTTATTTGTACCTTGTAGTATTTAGAAAGTGAACTTTTAGTCTTCGAACAATGAACTTATTAGGTCGGATAGTTTATGTTGTGGTTTACTATTGAAATAATGTACCTTATGTGTAAAAATGATATACCTTTAATGAGTCTCCAACATGTTTGGAATATAGTGGAGATTCCTTTTCATCATCTAGGAAGATTTGTCAAGACTTCTTCTTGTCTTGGACTTCTACTGATCCCCTTAGCTTCATTCTAACATGACCCCTTCCGTTTGTTTCCTTCTGAAACTCTTCCTTTCGACGCCTTTCCTCCCAGATGCTTCCTTTCGAAACTGCTTCATTCCGGTTAGTCCAATTTGCGAAGCTTTTCTAGTTTTACAATAAAGAATGAGGGGTCTAAACTTCTTATACATTGCTCTTTATATTATCAAAATCTATATAAAATAGTCCAAACAAAATCTAAATCAGATAAATCTTCTAGGTCATATGCAAGGGTAGACACACGAACAGGATGTACTGTGGTTCGTCAGTTTGATGTGTGGTCTAATGGACAGTGAGTTGTGACAAAACATTTAAAGGAACACAATCACGAGTTGTGTCCACCTTCTTAAAGCTATCTCATTCGGTTACATTGAAATGTCTCTACTAACCAATTGTCTTATTTAAAAGACTTGAAGATGAATGGAGTTGCATTGTCGGATGGCATTCACTAGTTTGGAGGTTCACTCTTTTTCGATTTTACACATAGGGATGCATATAATAGCATCCATATATATTATCACCTTAAATTGAATTTGTTATTCAACTTGAAATTGCTTGGAATAGATTCTCTATTCCTCTAATAGCATGTTTGGTTCACAGAATGAATTTTGAGGTAATAGGATTGTTATTTCATAAGGAATGAAATAGGAGTTGTATTCTATTGTTTGGTTCGCGGAAGAAATATACTTTAGGAATTATATTACAGTGTTTGGTTGGTTTAAGGATTAGAAATAAAATATGTTTTAAAAGACATAAATACCCTTATAAAAATAGGATGAGAATGAGGATGGGGATGAGGATGAGGGTGAGGAAGAGGAGGAGGTGGTGAAGGATAAATTTAATTGGGGGTAAAATAGGAAATAGTAACTTTAGGCTATTCCTGAGAACTCAGGAATAACCTAATACCACGGGACCCCAGGAATCTTTATTCCCCTTGTAAGGAGAATAAGTCATTCCCAGGAACATTGTTCCTAGGAATAGATGTTTTTATCTTTGGACGTACTCCATACAACGGTGGCACACTAGTGGTGGGCGAGTTAGCGAGACAAACATCGACGGATCTCCAAAAAGAGATTTTTTGACTGCTGATTGCATGGATCTCCGGCCTCGACAATTCTCTATAGCTTTTTCAGATTGGGTCTGTACCGTGTGAGGTATATCACACATTGGGTTGAGAATGCGTTCTCTTTACCATCTATTTGAATTGGACTCATTGATGGTGGTGCCCCTTACCGTCTGTTTGAATTGCTGTCGAGATAGTGGATTTGATTCATTGATGGTGATCCCTAGACGTAGATACAATTTTATCAAACTAGGTAAAAAATACCTTATATCATTTACTTTCTGATTCATTTAATTTCCGCACTTGGACAAATCCTATAGACACGTACAAACATAACAGAAGTAGAAACATACAAGGACACATCCCCTAGAGTCTAACAATAGTCAATAGATTATAGGGCTAAGTTAATTTGACTAATATTAAATTATTTTGTTAAAGTGAATATCAATATATGTCAACATAAAAATAAAAATAAAAGTTCTTTATAATAATTAGTATTAGACTATTAGGTGGACGGCAGAACGCATATATAAATCATGATCCATATTTAAAATATGAATAATGTTAAGTATGAATACAAGAAGCCCCAAAATTCCGACACATCTTAATTACATGGAAAAAGAACCGTTACGTTAAGTTGGTATTTCACTGTCAAATTTCTCAATCATATGACGTTCAAATTAAAGTTGGAGAACATTGAGGGCCAAGCAGCATCATATCATATCAAGATTTTTGAGGATAAGCCAATTTTTGCATATGCACTTCCGTGGGCAGCTTGATATCAGTGGCCAAACCAACAGCCTCCATAGCCTTCACTACATACCATGTCATGTCCACCTGCCACCACTCCAGGCCATGCCGGGCTGAATACTCGAACGCATGGTGGTTGTTATGCCAACCCTCCCCGAACCCCAGAATCGCCACCCACCTAATTCATCATCATTTCCACTTTTCATCAAAAGAGTTCGAGATTCAAACATTAAGAGGAAACACAAAATGAGCATATATATATATCTATACCAGTTATTCCTAGATAGATCGCCCGTGTTCCATGGCTGACTTCCCCAAACATGGCATACTGAATTCACAAACCAGGTAATGTGGTTCACCCACACAATTCTCACCCCCTGCAACACCCGTAAAAACGATTTACATACTCAAAATCCATATCCATTGAGACATGGTAAAGATGACAACGAAACCCTTCTTAATCGTTCACACATCACAGTAACGAGCTGAGTCTTTAAAGGTATTTAGTAAAAATGGATATCCTAAATCTCACAACGTATAGTAGGAACATAAACTATGATTGACCTAATCAAATTAAACATCGAAAAATCCATCCAGACATGGTGAAGATGACAAGGGGCCCTACTTAATCGCCCACACTTCAGTCACAGTCATGGATGATGGACCAGCTCCAAATAGCAATAGCAACCACATAACAAATCACAAGCCGCTGCAGTACTCAAGTTGTGAATGTGAATGTGATAAGCCGCGATCCTTGCTTTGAACTTTAGTACTAAAACTAGTGCTTTGGGTGGTAGAAAGCCTAAACCCAAGCTAGATGTGGTCCCTGCCCCAAAGTTCCTATCAGGATTCTAGCCATAAGATACTGATCTTCAAATAAACCAACTTCTTTTATATAAAGTGAGAGATATAGCTTTTTCTATTCATTTTTGCAGGCTGGCTTTCCTTCCAGCCAAAGTAAGTAATTAACATTCCAATTTCTGACAGTATATTGTAAACTCAATCTAATTCAGACGTATTATACAAGAAATAATAGGCTAATACCAGAAGAAGTTTTACTTGTCAGTTGTCATAGATGTACTTACCATGCCCCACACAATATAAGGGAATCCTCCCACAGCATATAGCAAAGCCGCAAGCAGGATAGGATGGATAATGTACGTTTTCTCAATGAACTTATAAAATGGCTGTTTCTCCAAATCCCCCACATTGGCAGGCCTTCCACACTGCAACACATAAAAAACATTTAAACTAACTAATTCCATGAACAAGCTAACTGAAGCATGTGCTCTCTTTCAACTAAAAGCTTAAGTTGATAGCTGAACTGGGGTTGACTCTGATGCCAAATTTGAATCATATGCTACCTCTCAACTAAAAAAGTTGATAGTTGAACTCGGATAGACTCTAATACCAAGTTGAAGTATGTGATTCGTCTCAACTAAAAGCTGGAGCTGATAGTTAAACTACAGCTATGTTTATATATTATATTACCTTCTCAACAATAGCATTGGTGTCAAAGAGCCAATTCATGTGACTGAACCAAAACCCTTCATAGGGACTGTGAGGATCCCTCTCAGTATCACAGAATTGGTGGTGGTACCTATGAGTACTCACCCAATCAATTGGATTTCCCTGTATACATGCATGATAATTATTCACAATTCAATTCAGAAAATAAAATACATACAATCATTATTCTGTAAAGAAGAGAAGAATAATTGAAGAAGTTAATTACTTGAAGGGCTTGAACACCACAATAGGCACAGAAGTACTCAAGCCATTTGGGAAGCTTGAAGCTCCTATGAGAGAGATTCCTATGGAAAGAAAGCGTGATACCCAGAAGTCCGGTGATGACGTAAAGCCAGAACGCCACCCAGAAAGCGCCCCAACTGAACGTGAAAGGCGCGAACAGACAGAGCACATGCATGGCCGCTAGCACCGCCGCCGTGGCCACATCCAAAGAATTCCACTGCCTGCCGGAAAACACATTCCTTGGACGCTTGACCTCCACGTCGGAGAACGGGATTTTCCCAAAGCCGGAATCTTTCGCGCCGTCCGGCACCGGAACCGCCGCCGCCGCCATCACAATTGGGAACGCTCTCCCCCCGATTATACCTTTTTCCTTGTCGCAGCGAAATTGCACTGAAAGTTTTGATGAAAATTTCTTGGGACTTTCATACTTGACTGCATTTGACAGAACCGCGCAGTTCGCTTGCCGGCGAAGCGGGCGCGCGAAGGAAAATGGCTTAACTTTAGACGGCGATGGTGCCAGGAAGATGGCCATCTTTAATGGTATTTAGTTGGTTTGAAAAGACAGTGGTTGGGTTTATATAGTCGGTCCGGGGAGAGGTTTAATGGTGTGAATTTCGCTATGTCAAACACCACAATTGGAACAGAGAAGAGGGCAGCGCCGACGTGGCAGGGGAGACGATAAGGCGGTGGACGGTGACAAACGGGAAAAAGATTTTTAGTGAAGTCAGTCAAAGGGTAAGAAAATATGAATTATTTAAATGTTGCCATTTCTAGAAATATTATTACTACGATAATATTTCTTATTCCATAGGCTGAATTCTCAACCCTAAGAGTCTTCCACACTTCAATCTGAAAGATCACATAAAAGGATATAAATCACGATAACTCAATGGAGATAATATTTCTTGTATTTACGATTTGCATCTGTTGGCACATTAGTCATTCAAATATCATTATTGTATTGCAGTTTATGCCAACACTTTTGCAAATCATAGGTCAAATAGTTTAATTGGTTATAACGATAAAAGTAGCTACGAGATATCGGTACTATAGCGTTTTGTTTAATTTAGTCCGTGTATATTTATTTTGTTCAATTTAATTCATGTAGTTTAAAAAGTTGTGCAATTAAGAACAATAGTTAATGGTGTTACTTTATAAATATTTAAAATTAATTATTTTTACTATCAATATATTAAATTAGTATGTATGAAATAAATAATTACAACCATGTTCCTAATAAGATTTGGACAATTGTCTTTAATTTAACCACTTTTTAAAATAAATAAACTAAATTAAACAAATAAATATACACAAATTAAATTAAACAAAATATTATAATATAGAGACACCTATTATAACTTATAAAATATAACCCGCATAGCGCAGACGGCAAGCCCAAGATGAAGTCGTAGAGTTTTTTTATTCAGAATTAATACCCAAAACCGTCCTCGACTATAGTGGTTTTTCTCAATTTCGTCCTAAACGACTTTGGTGACCTAATATCGTCCCAGACTTTTGTGTTTCGCTCAATTTAGTCTCAGACTTTTGTGTTTTTGCTCAATTTAGTCCCTCATTTGTTATTCTGTCCATTTGGTGTTAAATAGATAGACAATTCAGTAATTTTAATATTGGCATCTCTTTACTCATAGACATGTGAACTGCGAAATCCCTTTTTTTTACGAATTACTCCCAGAATTACTCCTAAAATTGGGAATATAAAATTTGATTTGCAGGTCCGGGAGTAATTCTGGGTGTAATTCATACAAGAAAGAGGAATCTCGCACTTCACAAGTTGAAAGTAAAGAGAGATCAATATTGACATTACTGAATTGTCCCTTTATTTAACACCAATTTGACGGAATAACAAATGGAGGACTAAATTGAGCGAAACACAAAAGTCTGGGACGATATTAGGTCACCAAAGTCGTTGAGGATGAAATTGAGAAAAACCACTATAGTCGAGGACGATTTTGGGTATTTACTCTTTTATTCATAAAGAACTTTTTAATAAATTGTTTCAGTTGTCACCAGAAGTCGTTGTAGTATAGTGGTGAGTATTCCTGCTTGTCACGTGGGTGACCCGGGTTCGATCCCCGGCAACGGCGAAGTGTTTTGTCGTCGTTTCCTATACTCGTTTTTTGCGTTTAAATAAATTTTTTTTTGAGTAACAAACTGAAAGCTTTGTAGTATAGTGGTCAGTAAACCTACCTGTTATGCAGGTTACTCGTGTTTGACACCCGGTATAGGTGTAATTTTGTTTTGTTTTATTTTAGCATGTTAGCGCTTTCTTGGCACTTTGTAGTATAAAGTGGCCATGCATGTTAAATAGGTTGAAAATTGAGCAATATGAACAAATTAAAATTTAATTCGCCAAACATTTAGTAAAATTTTAGTGAAAAACTTCCACTTGTTTGTAGTAGTTTAATTACAAGATTATGGCCAGGTGATAACTCAAGTACAAGAATGCTTACTACCAAATTAAATGTTTTTTTTTTCTTTTTTTTTTTTTTTTTTTTTTTGTTGAAAGGTACCAAATTAAATGTTAATAGTGGACATCTTCAACTAAGTTGATTATTTTGTTTACTTGAATTGATAATTCAATGTTACAAGTTTTACTCTTAACAACTCAGGGCCGTTTTTTTTTTTTTTTTTTTTAAAAAAATTGTGACCCCGTTTTTATAAATAAATGAGGTCCTACCAAAAGTATAAAGACAATCTTTAAAACTAATATTGTAAAATATATATTTTTTTATTTCAAATAAGTATGAATGGTCTAGCACTCAAAATTCACAGTTTCTACCGTAAAATATATGTTTTTTTTTTTAAATTTCAAATAAGTATGAACGGTGTAAATATTAGACCCTCTTAAAATTCAAGTTCTTTGTTGTTGCCCATCTTGCCGGCCTTAAAATCCGACCATGAACAACCATAAACTTATTATTCTATTCAGTCTATACTAATTTCTTTGTTTATTTCATTTAACAAGCAAATGCTAATCTGGTAAAATTCAGCCTCTACTAATTAGAGTATACAATAGAACAATCAAAGTTACGTTGTATCAACACAATTTCACAAACACTAACGTTACATTGGTGCATGCTGCGTTTTGGTTAGTCGTAATCATCCATACCAAATCTTGTGCACCGACCAGAAAAGCCATCAAATATTACTATAGGTAATAAAATGTGGGCGAACTTTGGTGCAGTGTATCCCACTGTTGACATGATGCATCAATCATGAGGGCAAAAAAAAAAAAAAAAAAAGGCGGGCTACACATTACTACATTAGTTTGTCTAAATTTAGTCCATGAAACGTCTCTTTCATAGAAACAATAAAAGATATGCATTCTGCATGGACAGCTCAGTTGGTCACAGAAATAAAATTTGGAATGGTTGAATTTTAAAGTTAGGACTCAATTCAGAACATTATTTACACTGCGATGGTTGAACTGAGCCCTAGCTATTACAAATTAAACTGGTTAAAGCCATTGAATTGGATGGGATGGGATGGGATGAGCGAGCAGCAGTGCATGCAATATAATTACATTTAACTATTTACCTGTTTAACCATAAGTGGTGGCTCCTGCTTAATAATGATGAAATTGATGTTGCAACATACAATCAAGCTTTGCACAGTATGGAAAGTAACTTGTGATCATTAATGGAAGGAAGGGAACTGTGTGTAAGCTTCATTATTTCTCTCTTATCTATCCTCATCAGAGAGTACATCATATATATATGGGAAAGAAAGAAGACCAAAGCAGAAAACGGTTATAACATAATGAAAAGAGGAAAATACAGAATTGCCCTTGCTATGCCTTTGTCTCTATTTTCTACTGCACTTGTGTTGCTCGTTTGTCTATATACTTCAACACCCCCCCGGAAGCTGGAGCATGAATATCATGAATGCCCAGCTTAGAGTGGAAGATCTCAAAAGCAGGTTTGGACAGAGATTTAGTAAAGCCATCAACAATTTGTTTTTGGGAAGAGATTGGCAGCAGCTTGATCAACCCCTCCTGCACTTTTTGCTTGACAATGTGGCAGTCGATTTCAATATGTTTTGTGCGTTCATGGAACACATAATTCTCTCCAATAGCAATGGCTGATAGGTTATCACAAAACAAAAGAGATGGAGCATCAAATTGCACATTCAAATCAGCTAGTAGATAATGCAGCCATTGGATCTCACAAACAGTAGAGGCTAGAGCCCTAAACTCAGCCTCTGAAGAAGATTTTGATACTGTGGCTTGCTTCTTGGTCTTCCATGATATCAAATTATCACCAAGGTATATGCAAAAGCCAGTAATAGACTTCCTAGATTCAATGCAGTTGGCCCAATCAGAGTCAGAAAAGCCCTTCAGCTGTATATTAGGATTAGCTTGGTAGAACAAGCCTTTTCCTGGGGAGCCTTTGAGATATCTGAGGACTCTATGAGCAGCAGTGAGATGAACATTGGTAGGTGTATCAACAAATTGGCTCAGCTGCTGAACAGCATGTGAAATATCTGGCCTTGTGTTTGTCAAGTATAGCAGTTTCCCAATGAGTCTTCTATAAATTTCAGGGTTGTCAAGAGGAACCCCTTGTGAACTAACAAGTTTGAGACCTGTTGTGGCTGGAGTACTTGCTGGTTTAGCCTCTAAAAATCCATTTTCTTTGAGGATTTCTAATGTGTATTTCCTCTGGAATTAGCTGATCCCAGTAGTTGTTCTGACTGCCTCAATTCCAAGAAAGAAATTCAGGTGACCAAGGTCTTTAATCCTGAAAGATTTGTCTAGGAATTCTTTAAGCTGACTGATTTGTGATTTGCAATTCCCTGCTATTAAAATATCATCCACATATATGAGGAGTGCAGTAAAAGAACTCCCTGAGATCTTGGTGAACAATGAGGGATCTGCCATGGATTGTTGGAAACCAGCTCCTTGTAAGGCTGAGGTTAATTTTGCATTCCATTGTCTGCTAGCCTGTTTTAGGCCATACAAAGACCTCAACAACCTGTACACTTGTTTTGGTTTGTCAGTGTTAAAACCTGGAGGTGGTAGCATGTAGACTTCCTCATCAAGATCACCATGGAGAAATGCATTGTTTATGTCAAGTTGTTGGACATCCCACCCCTTGGTGACAGCCACAGCCAAGAAAGTCCTTATAGTAGTCATCCTAGCAACAGGAGAGAAGGTCTCAGTGTAGTCCACTCCAAGTTGCTGAGTGTAACCTTTGGCTACAAGTCTAGCCTTGTATCTCTCTATTGAGCCATCAGCTCTATGTTTGACTTTAAACACCCACTTGCATCCAATTGGGATCTTGCCAGCTGGGAGATTTGTTAGAGTCCAAGTATTGTTGGCAACTAATGCTTCAATTTCAGAAGTCATTGCTTTCCTCGATGACTCATGCTGTACTGCTTCTGCATATGATTGTGGCTCTTATGCTGCTAAGATAGATGAAGCACATACCCTTTGGTCCAGGGACATAGAATCATATGATAAGACTTTATCCAGGTAGTGCTGTCAATACGGGCTGGCGGGGAGGGGCGGACCAAAGCCTGGCGGGCCGCGGGCCTAAACGGGGCGGGCTAAAAAAGCCCGCTCCTAAACGGGCCTGGGTTTGATAGGCCCGGACCGCCCCGCCAGTGGCCCGCGGGCTAGGCGGGCCCCGGCCGAAACCCCTTTTTAAAAAAAAAAAAAAATTGTTCATCAAACATCTAACTAATTAAAATAAATTGATACATAA